TCTCTCCATGATAATATCTTCACCTCACACCCAGGCTCAATTGATTTAATTTCATGGAGACTTTTTGTTGGGGCATGGATTGCAGGAGCATTAGTCACAAGACTCTCAACTGGCTGCACTTAAATGTCAGTATATAGGTTCAGAAATTGTGGTCTAAGGCTCATATTTGATGACTATTTTGTTCCTGCATTAGTGCCATGTGTCAGGAAAACATAGGAGCGACTCCTCCTCAGGTGACTGAGAGTGTCAAAGCAGGACATGATCAGACTCAGTAAGCAAGAGTTCTTCATCCTCTCCAATAACAGAGAGGAATGTTATTGTAGAGCTGAAGTGCATAAACCACTCATTAAAGAGATGATTGCACAGAGTTCAGGGGTGAGGTGATTCAGAGTGGGCAAGGGCAGATCTATACAATATTATTCGAAGTGATCACCTTTGCCCTACAGTGAAACATTTCTGTTCTAATGGGAGTGACCTCCAGAGGTGAGTTACATTTACTCTTGTTAGTGTATCACATTTTTCTGCCCCTGAACAAGCGACATTATGTTTTGGGGTTTTCCGTCTGAACATGATTTCTCAAGAACACCTTGAGGAAAGTTCTTTAAATTTGGTGCAAACATTCACATGGACTCTAGGATGATGATGATTTTGGTGGTCAAAGGTCTACATCGCATCACACATCATGTTTTAGAATTCCTTCAAATCTGGGGCAAACGTGGACTTGGTTTCATGGATGAACTGATTAGCATCTGGTGGACACAGGTCAAGGTTACTGTGACCCCATGAAACACAGTTTGGTCATGTGAACATGATAATGTTCAAGAATGCTTCAGGGATTTTTTTAAAATTTGGTACAGACGTTCACTTGGGGTCAAAGGTCTAGGTCAAGATGACTTCCTCTTCTTGTAACCACAACATCTCAGGAACATCCCATGGAATTTGATTACAGCTGGCACAAAAACTCACTTGGACTCAGGTTCGGCCTGATAAAAATTTGGTGGTCAAAGGTCAGGGTCACTGTTACCTTGCCTGGTGAACACATTATCTTGAGAATTCTTTGAGAGAATATTTACATATATTCCCTCAGACTCACGAGTGAACTGATAAGATTTTTTGGGCCAAGGTCATTATCTCAAAACGTTTTTGGCCTCTTGAACATGATATCTCAAGTCTGACATAGTGATTTTTTTCAAATTTTGACCATTTGTCACGGGAACAGGTCAGGTTTCTCATGCTTTTAGATGAAACACACTAGACCAGCACACAAATATCACACATTCTCCCAGCCACTTTGTCAACACTGCAGTGAGATCTTGTGAAGACGTATAACAGGGACCTTGTTTTTATGATTCAGTCTCTTTTTGAGTGTAGTTGCTCTGCTTTTCTCTTCCATAGCTGGGCTGTTATTAAACTGATTTCTACAGCGCTAAACTTAAAGGAGTATTGAAATGAAGTGGTCAACAAGTAGTGGAGAGGAGGGAGTCACATAAAGCAAAAACCCAAATGTTGCAGTTAAGTAGTGTTTATAGATCTGTATTGCACACAACTGCTAATTTAGAACCAGGCCACTCAAACCATTGCCTCCTAACCCGCTGCCTATTATCTCTCAAACTGAGCTGTCTGAATTAGATATGCTTCTTTGCTTGGAAGAGCTTACGTCGCTCTTGCTTCTGAAAACTCTGTCCTGTACCCACACAAACAGAACCTGCAAGACTATTCATGTTTTCAAAGAATCAACCAATGGTCCACAAGATAACAGCATGGGACACTTTACAGGTGGGTAATCTGAAGATTTCATATTGTGATTCATGATTAAGATGTCCATGACTGACATTTCATCATTTAACAAACACTACTTGGTCTTTAATAAGTGCATCCATGCTAAATTCACAAAACAACAAAATGATTGCACAAATAATCACACTGTTGCAGGGCTTGTTTCATGGCATATTGGAAAAACAATTAAATTCAGTTCAGATATGCACACTGAGATATTTCTCAAAGCAAAGTGAGCTGTAAACCTTTTTTGACAATGGTTGGCAGTAATATGACAAATGTTTTCAACTGCCTTAAAATGAATCTTCCAAGGGAAACAGGTTGAGGGTTTCAGTACAAACCCAATCCTCTGTACCTAAAGAGATCCTGAAACATGCAGTTATCACTGACTGATGAATAAAAGCACCAAAGAAAAAATCATGCAAATCAAGGTAATTATGAACTGCAGGCCACATGGTATTTAACAAACTGCGCCACTAGATGCACAGTATAATCAGCCAGTGTCTTTAATGCAATATTGTGTTTTAGTGACAGAAATGTCTATAGTCTGGATCTATGAAGAGAATGGACATTCCCAACTGTGTTTTATATATTTACCATCTCTAATGGATTTGAACAGGGCAAGTTACAAGAGCTCTTTAAGGCTACATACAGTACCTCACAGTGGATATTTTTAGAAAAAGCTGCTTTTCACAACTGGTATATGGACATTTATGATAGCAAATGTCTGCAGAGAGAGCAAAGCAGTGATCATCACACAGCACAGCTCCATCAGAACTGAAACAAAATTAGGCATCATGCATAACAAAAAATGCAGCAACATTTTAGTTCCACAAGCAACAAAATGTGAAGTTAATATAAAAACAGTAAACCTTAGACACAACAGTGTAACAGCCAGAGACAGACCCAGGCAGTGGAGGTTGCTGTGGCAGAAGAATAGCCTCTGGGAACAATGGCCAATATTTTTGGCCTTCTGGAGTAGACAGCAGATATCCAGTTCATGACCCCATCTTCCATATGCTGTACAGTGTGATTAAACTTCAGACTTTCAATACTTATTGTCTGATGTCAGGTTTTATCTGACCTACAGTGACAGAGCAGTGATATCGCTGAAATTCCCTGTGGGAGGAATAACATTTAGTTTCGTAGAAAGTTCTTAATGAATACAGATACAGCCTTGAGTCAAACATTATACTTGAACCTTCTACAAGCTTGTGTGTTTACTGTTATTTCGGGCAAACAAAACCATAGACCTAAAGTGAAGCCAAAGTATCTCCTTTGCCATCTAGTGGCTGACTGCTCTATAGGTCATAAACCCCCCCTCCACCATGTTTGCAGGTGGGACATGGATCAAACTTAGAAGTAGGCATAAAATAATTCTTCCTCAAAGATGAATTATGTTATTGTAGCTTGTTCTTATCATGCTGGTGTTTGCACAATTGTTTTTGGTTTAATTTGGTTTAAATGTGTTATTTAATGCTATACAAATAGGGTGATACATCATGATTGACAGATTAGACTTACTCATGATTGATCGAGCCTGTGTATCGACGGGACCTCGCTACTTAGACTCCATCCCCCAATCACTACTGTGCAGACTCTAATGCACAAGGCATCCGTATCCTGGATTTCTGGATGATGGGGGAAAGTGGAGACGCTTTGTTCATCGTTAAACACTCAGATCCCAATTTGTCAATAACATTCTATCAATTCCCAGCTAGAATATTGCAGTTGTACTAGAGTACTAGAGTAGAGTACTAGTTGAAAACATTAAACATTTATTAGCAGATAAAAGAGAAGTGGGGTTGGGAGTAGAGGTGGAGGGAGAAAAGGGGAGAAAGACAGATATCAGGGGAAAATACAGCTGCACTTAGCATACAGACAGATAAGATTACAAAGAATCCTTTCAATTCTATGTTAAAAGCTTGTACTGGAGCAGGACAGGCACATATACAACAAAGATCCTGTTTGTGACAAACACTGCATTTACCTCACTGACAAACATGCATCCACAAAGCAGATATTAAACCCTTCAGTTGGCACTAAATGTGGCCCATCACAGTCAGCACAATCTGATTGTCAAAAATACAAAAGTCGTGATTTTACTGCTGCTTTGCTGTCACATGTGATGTCCCCTAATGGTGTCTGTGCTAAGGACTGTGACCATGGCTTTTCTAATGCATACAATTTCCTGTGCACAAGTGTCCATCAACACATCTCTTGAAAAGTCATCAATGTTTGCATTTCAACTTGATCTTAAAGACAGAAAAGTTAGTTCCATTGGGAGCAGAAACGATCACTTGGTATCAAAGATGAACTGATTAGATTTTGCTATAACGATATAATATCCCTTGAATGCCTTGAAGAAATGTCTTCACATTTGGCACGACACAGTTTTTGGCCTGAACTCAAGAATTCATGCAGTAACTTTCATTCAATCTTTATGTGCCATTTTATCTTCACTACATATATTACACGAGTTTGGACATACATAGATGTAAACGGCAACTTGACTAGTTGGTGCATAAAATCACAAGGTGGCTGTACCTCCATAACAATGTGTTTAAATGTGTTTTTTTTCTCACTGTGACTTTATCCTCAGGTGGAGGTATTCCTGTTTAATACAATCAAGGTAACAGAAGGTAAAGTACACTTTGTTGGAAATGCTGGAATAAAATTAGACAACCACAACTACACACACATGCAGCAGCAAGTTTTCCAACCTCCTGTGTGGCCTCCAGCTGATGTTTGACAGTAGAGGGCGCTATGATGTTGCCCTTACTGAGTCAAACCATTATACTTGAACCTTCTACAAGCTTGTGTGATTACTGTTATTTCAGGCAAATAAAGCCATAGACCTAAAGTGAAGCCAAAGTATCTCCTTCGCCATCTAGTGGCTGGCTGCTCTATAGGTCATAAACCCAATCATTTTGTTTCTTTTTGAAATTTGCAGACATCTGCTGAAGCGTCTTCAAAGTCAATATTATTTTTTAGTTGAATGGGCTGCATTTCCCCTTCAGGCTACTAGGTGGAACTAACACTTCTGTCACCTGTAAATTATGATCACATTCAAGAAAATTGCACCATCCATCAAGATCAGGCAGTATTGTGAATTAACAAAATTTGCTTTCAACCACAGCAGCTCGGGTTCACATGATCCCTCAAAATGTATTTATTTATTTTATTTATTTTCACCTTATTTGGATGGTGCCCTAGTGGTAGTATCCGGACACTGTGGATGCTTTGTAAATCATTCATAACTTAGTATTTTGTATTTAGGTTGTTTTTTTTCATGGAGTTCTAGAGGTTTTTCCTTCTCATGTACAAAGTCAAACTTTGTTGGTCTCAGATCCCCTCTTCAGAATTACATGAGGCAGTGATGGGTTGACACGGCACCACCTGCAAAAGATTACAAGTCTCTAAAGTCTCCACGGATGTTAGACAACTGCTACAGTGTTTCCTCCTCATCCTCAGCTGTTGCACTTGTATTAAGAACGGGCATATTTTCCTTCAGCGAGATATCGTCCACCTGTTTGGGGCCGCTGTCCTCAGGTTCTTCAGGTATGGACGGGTCTGAGTTGCTGATCACGTAACCTGGGAGAGTGGCGTGCATGCTGACCACGGGGGGACCCGCGCGCCGATAAACATGGCTTGAAACAAGTGTGGTGGAGCGTGTGGAAGGTCCAGCTCCGGCGAGGTGGGACTGACTGCTGGTGCTGTTGTTGTTCAGTCCGACGACCACAGACCCGTAACGGTAACGGCCGCAGACGACCGGGCCCTCCCACTCAAAAGCCAGGTTCCATCGCGTCCATGTTTTCTTTATCTCTGTCTGGACCTGTGGGGGTGGGAAGGACAGAGTATATTACAAAATGATCACACAACAGTGTAGAATTGACATTTTATTTGAGTTGTGTTTTTGGCCATGTTAGTTATCTGAGTCCAATATTTACTCTTATTTTAACTTCAGTTAATGGTTCTTAACTTTATGAATATTATATAATTACAAGATATATTGTATTTTCTGTCTCTGGCACTTTATGCTGTGGTAGATAGTAAACATTGCGCTGACCTGAACTTGTGTGCTGGTAACATACGTGGGCTGAATGATTAAAACAATGCATTAACATGTCCATTGTGTGGGATTTAGTCGGGGTTCTATTTACAGAAACGGAATGTAATAGTTATGAATATTTCTACTTTAGTCTGCAGTCACTTGGAAATAAGAATTCTTGTGTTTCCCTTGTTTGGAATGAGCCCTTCATATCTAAGGAGCAGGTCCTCTTAAAGTCTAAAATGTTACACACCTATAGGTTTTTTTTATTATCTTTATTCAAGAGTGTGGTCTTTCAGTTTGAGAGCAGGACTTGATTGATTTCACATTAAGATTTTGGAACGCTTTCACTCGAAACCCTGCATTGAACTCAAATATCCCCTGCTTGTGTTTCAATTTGATCTGCTTGTGCTCAAACTGTGTGCTTGCACTCAAATAGTTTGTTGCTTCAACAGGTTCCCTGCATTCAAGCTTCAGCTATTCTCCTCGCTCACGCAGCCTATCTGTGTGCTTGCAAAGTCTGCTCTTTCCCCAATTCCCCAACCAATACAACTTGTAGTGGTGTAGTGTAGACAAATTAAATGAGCCCACTCTCATTGTGGGTGTTGTTGCCAAAAAACTGACTTGAGATCCTTGATTTTGCCGCTGCTTGTTGACCAGGGATATGTTGGATTCCTGATCCATGAAGGGTTGGTCGTTTTTTTCCTTCAAGCACAACGAAGGGAAGCCAGTGTAATAGTAAAGCCTTGAAAGGCAGGGAGTGTATGAACCTGGTTAAAATAACGCAGTTGAGCACAAGCAGAGCAAATCTAAGCACAATCAAGGCAGCACAAAATCTGAATGTGAAATCAGTAAGTCCACACTCTTGAATAAAGAGCAGCACAGAAAATACAAAAAAACACCAGAGCTGGACACAGCCTTTTGAATTTGTATGCTACCTGGAGAACATCGTATGTTCTCTGACATGTTAGAAAAGCAATAGGGGAGGGGATATATACAGACGTTGGTTCCAACATGAAACCTCACTGCTAGATGCCACATAAACCTACACATTGGCTTGAAGCTGCACAACGCTACAGTGTAGGCTGGTAATCCTGTGTTTTGACAGAGACATTACATGACATCATCATCAATGATAGAACAATTTTACCGTATGGAGCTCTGACCAAAAAAATAAAACAAGCTCTGTTTCAATTTTTGTTTTTTTTGAATTGCAGAAGTCAGTCACACAGATTTATCTTACAAGATGAGAACTCCCCATGATACAAAGAGGATCACAACAGGCAAGAAACCTGGCAGAAATGGTGATACTGACAACCAGCTGAGAGGTTTAAATACAAAAAGTTTGAGACAGTAGAACAGGGGTCTCAAACAGCAGTGGTATTGCTATCTCATTAGGGGGCCACTTCAGCGTTCAAGTACTGCGAGGAATACTTTAAGGTTTTCTGCAGAAAACAGAGTTTTGCACAATCAAAATTTTGTATAGAAGGCTTTTACATTTTCAAAAGCTCCTGTGATGAGCTGATCAAAGCCCAGGGAGCTTCAGATTAATATTCATCTGCCTCTGTGTTATGTCCCCTGGGAATGAAGGGTGCATGACCTATTATGGATCATCAAATTCAGGAGCATCCACTCTTCCATCTTCATTAATCTCTTCACACCAAGCCGCCAAAAGACATCTTCACATCCTTTGCTGAGCCTGCTGACTCAATTACATCTAAAAAGCACCAGAACTGGTGGTGCTCTAAAATCCTAGGCCTGATCTAACTGATGCATTTCAGGATTTCATATTTCCCAGCATGGAATTTGATGTGCTGGAGCCTCTTCTGTGTGATGTAAAAGAAATATCCACTCACCTCACCATTGCAGTAGCAATAGATAATGGAGACAAAGAAACCCTGAAAGAAAACAGGAGGCTCAGTTTAGAGCAGATCAAATGAGAAGAAATGTGCAGTATAATTCAATCATTTAAAAAATGTCCATCAGAGAACAATACAAACAAATACATACAATAATGATGTTCCAGGTTACCAACAATCATCTCTTTGCTTCTAAACAAAAATTTAGAGAAAGGTCTCTAAAACCACGTCTGTCTGTCTTTGTTCCGTGCTTCTGTTAGTGTTTTTCTTAGGAAAGTCTGTTTGTTTCATTATTAACAATATGCAACAGTATCTCCAAGGGGTCCATGAATGTGGTTGAAAATGTGCAGCATCATATAAATGGACATTGGAAGTCTTTTAAAGCAGGAAACTAATTTAAAAAAAAACTGCACTGTACTTTCCTAACCCGAGATTAGGGAAAAGTGCTAGAGGAGCATAGAGC